CAAAAAACTAACTAAAGTCAAAGTCGTCAATCCGCCATTTTGGGGCAGTGCGTTCACTTTTTTTTGTGGGAACATTGGCTTTTTTTTAATAAATAGTTACAAGGAACACAACGATATGCAATTTATAGGGATGTGGGGGGGGGGGTGCACGGTAAGGGGGTCTGGCCCACAGACTAACTGTGGTTTATGATTTTTTTCTTAAAACATTTGATTCGATATTCCTGTAAAATCGGACAAGCAGAGACGTAGTGACGTACATCCTCTATTTCCTTTAAATTACAAAGGCTTCACAATCTTTGTTGCTCACTCCTCATAACACTATTGTTTAGAAATAATAATTCAAGTATAACTTTAATAAAATGCATTTTATTTACATCTGATATGTAATGCCTTTCTCCTAAGTCGCTGTTGAAACCATTTTTAATGTCATGAAATCTAGACACTCTAGTTTTTTCCCTCATACCCACTTTAAAATTATTTTCTAATTTAGTTAAAATAAGGGGAATTATTTTATCACTTGTGTATTCTATTGTGATATTAATTCTATTACAAAGCTCAGTATTTTTGCCAAAATATTTTCTGTTTTATTATTTTTTTTGCCAAAATGTTCGGTAATCTTGATGCTGGTTAAGAAAGTACCCTTTGTATATATTGCAAATGTAATGACAAAGTATAAAAGAATATCGGTTTAAAATTGGATTCCAAATATAAAATATAATGAGGTGAATTAGTAGGAAAAACATTTTTTTTATGAAAAATATATTTAGTTTTTCTACCTCTTCAAAACTATGATATCCCCAGACTCTGCAAGCGTAACAAATTATTGATCACATGGCAGCATTGTAAACATGTCATTTATTTGATTTTTATAATTATTAGTTTTCAGGTTGCATAGGGGAGTCAGGTCTATTTCCAGATAGTTGTAATAATTTACAATTTCTAAATGATGTGCTTCCATTTTCCATTTCTCGTTCTTTCCTAATTTTTCCCCATTGTGAAATACCATAATTTTAGCTTTTTCCATGTTAACTGACAAAGTCCATAAACTACTGTACTCCGCTGATCTATTTATCATCATTCGGAGAATTTTAGGTTCCGGTGCAAGCAAAATAATATCATCAGCGTACATTAGACACCTTATATTTATACCTCCTGCTGGAATTCCTCCACCTATAAAGTCAAAGAAATTGTTTATAAACAGTGAAAACAAAGCGGGTGAGAGCAAACAACCCTGCCTCAAGCCTACTGATGTTTTAAAAGTCTCCGTGACGTCACCATCGGTCCACACACAAGATTCCATACGTCTGTCTGGAGCATTAATGAATTTGCTAGATATACCCAACATATACAATTTATAAAAAAAACGCGTGTCAAAAGCTGACTTAAAATCGATAAACAGACAATACAACTTGTGACGTTTTTTACTTGTTTGTATTTTAATAATATTTAACAATTTAAAAATAATATCAATAGTCGAATTTTATTTTCTTCTATCCATTTTTCTAACCTTTCTTTTTTTTTTTTTTTTTTTGCGCCATGAGTGCACTGCGACCATGTAGTCCTATTTTACGCCTTATTTAAAGTCACTTTAGTTTAGAGTGTAATTCCTGCAGTCTCAATGAACTGTAATAAGCTTGTTGGATTGATAAGCCTGTTTGCCTTGGGATCCTTCTCCCTGTCGATGCCGAATAAACGAAATCTAAAGCCTGCAAACCTATCGCACCAGCAAGTAACATGATATGCTGTCTCATCCTCCTAGCCACAGTACCTAAAAAGAGACGACTCCGTGAGCCGGAATTTGAACATGTGATAATTCAGTTTACACAGTGCCCTGTGTATGCTGCTGTAATTTTCTTGAGTGAGCTTCTGCTCAGATTTATTAGTAAGTTAGGTATTTTTTGACAGATTCCTTCCAGAAACAGTCTAGAGTGGGTCTGTTTTTTCAAGCTCCAGTTCTTTTTGTTTTCAGCACCATATATCTCCCAGATTCTGTTCGGCGCCATCTTCAAAGTTGTTGAAGGCATATTAAAAATAAAAACGAATTATAATAGAATAGAATAGAAAATAATTTTATTCTGGGACGAAGTCCCTTCAGAATAACAAAAAAGTACAGAAATTAAAATTTTACATCTGGCCCGATAAAAACAAACATAAAAAGTAAAGATAAAGATAAATCAGTAAAAAAAAAATATATATATATTAGTTATACATAATATATACAAAATAAAATAAAATAATCTATATACAAAACTCTCGAAACCATACTAAGATACTTAAAACTATGTACAATGGTAAAATATAAATAAACCCTTTTAGAAAAAATACAAAAAAAAAAATAAATGTAAATTCTTCTTAACAGTAAAATTTGTGTTTCTGTTAAAAAAAAAAAAAAAATGTAATTTTACATAAAAGGTTAGCTGGTATCTGACTGTTTTTGGAACAGGAATTGGAATAGGAGGGTTTTGAATGTAGATAGGGATAATGAATGTCGGATTTTGATAGGAAGGGAATTCCAAAAATTAACAGAGCGAGCAATAAAGGAGTTTTTGAACGAGGCATATCTGTGAGAAGGAATGTAAAGGTCGGAAGGTCGAGATCTTGTGGAGAGGGAGTGGACGTGGACTGAGGACTTGAATTGGAGAAGATTGCAGGCGTAGGAAGGACAATGATTGTTGATGATATGATAGAGAAATGTACCTAGGAAATATTGTCTTCGAATGGAGGGGAAGAGCCACTCTAACTCAGTGTAGTGGTGAGAGACATGGTAGTATCTTGGGGCACCAATTACAAATCTCACGCAACTGTTCATTAATCTTTTCAGTCTGTCACGGAGCTCCACCGAGAGTCCATCATACACCACACAGCTGTAGTCAAAGTGGGAGAAGATGAGAGAGGAAACGAGGAGTCTACGCGTATGTTGAGGTAGGAGATGGCAGAAGCGATGGAATAGTTTGAGGGTAGAAATTGTCCGTAGGGAGATGTGAGAAATATGGTGATTCCAGGAGAGGGTTTGATCAATAAATAGTCCTAAATTGTTTACAGAGGAGTAGGAGATTGGCTGGTCACCAAGGTTTAGTATGGGGAAGTCTGTATAGGATCTAAGGAGGGGCTTGGAACCAATGACAATGGCCTGAGTTTTTGAAGTATTTAACCTTAATCCGTTTAAGTTTTCCCAGGCACAGATTCGATCTAGGTCTGCTTGGATCTTAGTAAATGCTACCAATAGCTCAGGGGGAGAAAAGGATAGATATATTTGAGAATCGTCTGCATAAAGGTGGTGGGAACAATGGATAATTGAGTCATGGAGGTCATTAATATAGGAACTAAAAAGGAGAGGAGATATGCTAGATCCTTGGGCAACTCCAGAGGATAAAGGCAGGTAGGCAGATAGTGGTTGATTAGGAATGGAGACTGCTTGGGTGCGTTGTGAGAGAAAAGATTGGAACCAAGAGATGGAGCTATTGGAGAAGGAAAGTGATTTTAGTTTGTTGAAAAGGATGGGATGGTTAATGGAGTCGAAGGCTTTTGAGAAGTCAAGAAGTATAAGGACAGTTAATTGATTGCAGTCTGAACATCATTGGTAATTTTGATTAAGGCGGATTGTGTGGAGTAGCCGGGACGGAAACCAGATTGGAGAGGATCAAGTTGGTTGGACTTTTCGAGGAAATTGGAAACTTGGGATTGCACCAATCTTTCTAGGGGTTTTGAGAGATTGGAAAGAATTAAGATTGGGCGAAAGTCTTCGGGAGAGGATGGATTAGGCTTTTTATTTAAAGGGAGTACAATAGCTTTTTTTCCAAGAGGAAGGGAATATTGAGTTCTGTAGGAAGAAATTGTAGATGAAAAGGAGAACTGGGAGGATTTCGGGGAGACATAATTTTATCAATTTGACAGGAATGCCATCTGGTCCTATGGAATTGGTGTGGGATTTCATTACTGCAGTTAGTAAGTCAGTCGGGGAAATGTCGGACAAATAAAAGTCATCATCATTAAATGATGACTCAGGAGCAAAGTTGGAAGAGGCGGGAAGAGAGGAGGTAAAGGGGGCAGAAATAAAATGTGAATTTAAATCGTCAGGTGAAATGGAAGAGACCAGTGGGGAAGGGGATCTGGAAGGTTCACAGAGGAAAAGTTTGCAAAGGATTAGCCAATTAATAGGTGGAATACGAATATTAGCTCGGAAATATACGATTTTTACAAAATAAAAATTAATTTTTATTACTCTGGCGCCCCCAAATACCAAATACAAATAAATAAATAAAAAGAAGAAAAGAATTAATAGGCGAAATACGAATATTAGCTCGAAGTTATACGATTTTTAGAAGAAAAAAAATCATAACCTACCAAGGCAATTTTCCTCCTTTACATACGGCAAAACATCGCTAATAGTGCAAAAAAAAATCTATTTAATCGTGTCCGGTGGACCAAAATGTTTAGGCAACTTTCCAAATTTTAATTAAGGCAAGGCAAATATCTCTCATGAGTTCTTAATAGGCAACATTCTACTTATTTAGGAAGTGGTCTGTATTTTAATATATTGTTAGGTTATAGGAATTTTGCAAAAACAGCTTACCATTTTCCTGCTGGTAAAGACTTCTCTTTTACCTGAGGGCTCCCTCAGAGCATCTGTTGTCTCTGGCTATCTGGTCTGGAATGCGGCAGTCGTAGCGGAAGCTCATTCCGATTAAATTTTATTTTTAATAGATCTTCTGATCTGCCTCCACCACTTGCCGCAACGAGAGAATTGGGGACTATCCTTGCATAAACACTTGGATTTCTTACTTTTCTGATGAAAATTGGCCCATTCTTAATATGAAATTTTCTGTAGCTCATCATTCTTATAAAAATTTCCTACTACTTACAGAACACCCTGTTTACTTGTATACACCTATGTTCTATTGTAAGAGACCAAAACGAATATTTAATGTGGTCAATATTTTTTTTATTAACACTATCTTAAATTCATTTTTATGAATGATGATGTTTATATTTACTTTTAGATGTCAGGTGAAAAGGGTGTATCAGCATTTCCTGAAGGAGAGAATCTATTTAAATGGGTGGCAACCATCAATGGACCTGCTGGAACGGTAAGAAACCCGTATTTTATTATATGATCTATATCTTTTCTTTTTTAAAAGAATTTATAATTTTCATCACCCTCAAATTGTACTATGGTACAATGTTTTAATAATACAATAATGTGTGACGGTTCGGCGGGAGAGGGAGATATGGATGGAAACTTAAAAATATTTCAAAAGTTTACATTTAATTAGTAAATTTCATTTAATTTCCTTGAATGAAAACATGTAATTTACATGTTATAAATAAAAATTATTATTTATAATTTTTTCGCCACTCTCTGTTAACTTCTACAATTTTCTATATTAGATGTTGTTTTTTTCTGAAATTCTCTGCTTTCCAACGATATATTATACATATACCTTCTGACTTGTATTTCCGGAGATATATTTTCGACCTGGATACGCATTTTTATTTTTTTCGTAACTCTTAATAATGTGAGATAGTTAATTATTTAAAATAAACTATATTAGAGGTAGACATATGTGAACATTGGGCATTTAAGCCCTGTAAAGTGACATCAGTGGGGATAAGACCTAAAGGATATTAAAGACCACTTAATTATACAATGATACACCGAGTTTGATCAAAATCGTTAGAGCGGTTTTTGAGAAAATTGTAAAAATGTATTTCACCGTTGATATAAAGGGGCACTTGCGGTTAGCTGAATTTAAGGGAAAAGTTGCAGTCACATGTAAGGCATATACCTATCTTAAATACATAATATCAGTTTCCTATGTCTTTTCGTTTTTGAGCTAGACTGTTAACAACATATAGACACACAGACCATTTTGCGGGACTTGCCTATTTGGATTCAGGGTACCTCAAAACGTGTATTTCTGTTAAAATCTCAGATTTGTAAATGTTTACAATCGTAATACTTTCTCTTACTATATATTACATATATCGGTAAATAAAAGTAAAAATGAGAGTCCATATACAACTTCTAGGTCGTAGCCGTAATATTACTACAGAAAACAATTAATAAGTAAAAGATAGAATAAACGCCTACTACAGAAAACAATTAATAAGTAAAAGAAAGAATAATCGCCTTGTTGGCCAACACAAAACATGATAGACAAAAGGTTATATCAACACATGTGTTTTATATATATATATATATATATATATATATATATATATATATATATATATATAGCATTTCCAAGTCAATTTCAACCTTTTCCAAATCAAATTCAACCTTTTCCAAGTCAAATTAAACCTTTTCCATTTCAAATTCAACCTTTTCCATTTCAAATTCAACTTTTGAATTTTCGTCAATTTTCGATTTTTTTCGAAATGAAAGCCACTTACTATATTATCGAAGGCATAGCTTTTGAATAATACAAAAAAAAAATTTGATAACGCGGTTGCATATCCATTTATTTTAACATTTTAGATTTTTTAAGTGTGATATTTCTATGTCATTTCCAAGTCAAATTCAACCTTTTCCAAGTCAAATTCAACCTTTTCCAGATCAAATTAAACTTTTTCCAAGTCAAATTCAACCATTTCCATTTCAAATTAAACCTTTTCCAATTCAAATTCAACCGTTTTCATTTCAAATTAATGTTTTAATTTTTTGTAAATCTTATATTTTTTTTTTAAATAATGACCATCCCCTCCCCCCCTCCAATATGAAAGTCTATTATTATGCTCTCCTAAGTAGAATTTTCACTTACGGATATCGATTTATTGTACCGATTCGGATTTATTAGGGACTAGTATTATGCTGTCCTGTACCTAGTTTTGAAAATAACCCCCATTGTAAGATTAAGTGACTGCGTATCGAATCACTTAAGTTTTTTTGATTTATTCGATATAAGGGTGTATTTTTATGTTTCCCGATCAGTAAATTTTGAAAATGGCATCCATTAGTACGCCACTGTGTTTTGACTTATTTAAGTTTTTAGAATTTATCCAATATAAAGGTCTACTTTTATGTTTCTGGAGCCGTAGATTTTGAAAACAACCTTCATTTTAAGATTAGGCCACCGCGTTTCGACTTATTTGAGTTTTTCGGATTTTTTTCATATGAGGGTGTATTCTTATGTTTCCGGAGCCGTAGATTTTGAAAACGACCTCTATTTTAAGATTAGGCCACCGCGTTTCGATTTCTTTGAGTTTTTCGGATTTTTTTCATATGAGGATGTATTCTTATGTTTCCGGAGCCGTAGATTTTGAAAACGACCTCCATTTTAAGATTAGGCCACCGCATTTCGATTTCTTTAAGTGTTTCAAATTTTTATCATAAAAGAGTGTATTCTTATGTTTCCGGAGTCGTAGATTTTGAAAATGACCTCCATTTTAAGATTACGCCACTGCGTTTCGGCTTATTCAAGTTTTTCGTATTTATCCAATTTAAAGGTCTACTTCTATGATGCCGGAGCCTTAGTTTTTAAAACGACTTACATTTTAAGATTAGGCCACTGTGTTTCGGTTTTTTTAAGTGTTTTTGATTTTTCCTCGAATAAAAAACAAAATACGAAGGATTAATTTATTTTTCAAAAAATAATTAAAAATATCTAATCAAAATAAATAAAATATGTATTGTCTCATTTTTAATTTAATTTTAGTTATCTTTTTTAATGTTGTGGTCTCCTGTCACAAAATTATAAGATTTCGAACAATTAGCTGAAAAATCTGAATACGGAAGGTTAAATTTATTAACAGCTGCTTTTCGGCTTTTTAGTTTGTATTCTGTGGTTAATTTAACTTTAGCTTCATAATATTTATTTATTTATTCATACTCGAAAACATATTGATGAAACTTTGTATTGAAAAAATCCAAAATGAAGCCTAATTATTCGAGATACAGCGGCTTAATCATAAAATAGAGCTTAAATATTAGATAAATTTAAATATTAAAGATTAGAAAAATTTCAATACGTCTCGGATAACATATAAGTAGATCCTTATACCGAAAAAGTAAAAAAAAAACTTTTATAATCCAAAACACAGTGGCATAAACTTGAAATTGGGTCATTTACAAAAACATAAAATTAGACCTTTATACTTGTTAAATTCTAAAAACTTAAATAAGTTGAAACGCAGTGGCGTAATCCCCAAAATAGAGGTCATTTCCAGAATCTACGGTTTCGAAAACATAAAAGTAGACTTTTAAATTGGATAAATTCGAAAAACTTAAATAAGTCAAAATGCAATGCCGTAATCATGAAATGGAGGTTATTTTCAAAATCTACGGCTCAAGAAACATAAAAGTAGACCTTAACATTGGATAAATTCGAAAAACATAAATAAGTCAAAACACAGCTGCGTAATCATAAAATGAAGGTCATTTTCAAAATCTACAGCTCCGGAAACATAAAAATACACCCTTACATCGAATAAATAAAAAAAAAAATTAAATAAGTCGAAACGCAGTGGCGTAATCTTAAAATGGAGGTCATTTTCAAAATCTACAGCTCCGGAAACATAAAAATACACCCTCATATGAAAAATATCCAAAAAACTCAAATAAGTCGAAACGCGGTGGCCTAATCTTAAAATGGAGGTCATTTTCAAAATCTACAGCTCCGGAAACATAAAAATACACCCTCATATGAAAAATATCCGAAAAACTCAAATAAGTCGAAACGCGGTGGCCTAATCTTAAAATGGAGGTTGTTTTCAAAATCGACGGCTCCAGAAACATAAAAGTAGACCTTTATATTGGATAAATTCTTAAAATTTAAATAAATCAAAACATAGTGGCGTAAACATAAAATGGATGTCATTTTCAAAATTTACTGATCGGGAAACAAAAATACACCCTTATATCGAATAATTCAAAAAAACTTAAATAATTCGAAACTCAGTCATGTAATCTTAAAAAGGAGGTCATTTTCAAAAACTACTCATACGATAACAGACCCACACATCGAAAAAGTAAAGATAATTAAATAAATAAAAAAAGGTTAAATTTGAAATGGAAAAGGTTTAATTTGAAATGGAAAAGGTTGAATTTGACTTGGAAAAAGTTTAATTTGATTTGGAAAAAGTTTAATTTGATTTGGAAAAGGTTGAATTTGACTTGGAAAAGGTTGAAATTGACTTGGAAATGATATATATATATGAATCTTTATCTTATGTAAGATTCATATAATCGATTTATATATAACACATGATTGATACCTTATAATTAAAATTACTTTTTAATATTCTGACTACAACATCATTTATTTCAGTAAACTGGGTAGATAGTCAAGAAACTGGATATTTTACCCTAGTATTTTTTTTTTTTTTTTCAAATTCGAGCTTATAAAATAATATCATAGGTGGCTTTATGGAGTCCCTCATTCTACGAGGGTTGGTGTTTATGACACTCTCATTCAAGTATTGATCTTCCATCATTGAATGTCTTCCTACTTTTTATTACCTCTTTTCTTCAACTAAGATTTCTTTTTGTTTTTTTAAATTAAGAAATAAGTTGTTAAGGTTACATAATTCTTCTGTTCTTAAAATGAAATTTATGATGGTATTGAAATTTTTGTTTTTCTGTTTGTTTTATAGGTTTATGAAGGTCATGTATTTAGGCTGTCTGTTGAGTTCCCTCATTCTTACCCATATTCGCCTCCATTGGTAAGTATGCTTTTTGAATCAAGTTTGATTCTATTATTATTATTAATTTAGGTTATTAATATCCAATATTCTCCCTTTTGGGGTTCAAAATGGGAGTGGGGGTTGACTACCATTAGGTATTAATATTTTTAAACATTTAAAATTGTTCTCATATTCTTGCTGTATCCTTGAAACTCCCTATGCCAGTATTGACTTTATCAGGTCATTTGTTGAAATAATAATTGGTGTCACCAGTTCGCATTATTAGGTCAAAGATTAGGCTCAAATGTTAAACTATATTTGAAAACTTCCTGACAATATTTGGTATACTGAGGGGAACTACTTTTTTTCCTTATTCCATTACTTTTTCTGGCAGCTTCAAATTCTCTATTGAGCAGATGGTATCATCTGGAAGGAGACCACTGCTGGAAATCACTACTGGATATACTCGTATATGATCTAGTCTATAAAGTTGCCACACCTGTCACAAATTTTGATATTTTCTGATATCGTCTTTCCAATGCTATCATTGGTGGATGCCATAATATCAATGACGTAGTCACTTTTTGTATTTCGATCAATTGAGACTGTCCGATTTACTAATGTGTTCTGTAATCATAGAACAATCTTGACACATTGTTCTGTTTTTAATAGACAGTACCTGTTTAGGCTCTTACTGATAATAAGAAACCTGACCAGTATTCATATTATGTAAAGAGGCCTAAGGCTTGGTTGACAATCCTGGCCAGATTTTTGTGCCTCATCTGGTATTCCCCTGCCAATGCTTGACATCCCAATAATATATGTTGGATCAACTTAGTGACATTATTATTATTATATTGAGGGATGGGAACCTCGTTGCCTCATCAAGATTCAGTTGGATTTTTGTGAAATACTGAGTGCTTCTTATTAAGTACATTAATTATTTAGGATTAAATCTAGTAATATCTAGGCTTAATATTTATAGTAATATCTATGTTTCCTGAAGTATATGAAAAGCCATTCACTGCTATGATCAACTCTCCTGTACAAAGTCCTTTCACGACCTATTCTGATATACAGGTGTGAAACATGGACATTGAGATGAAGGCCAGTGAGAGAAAAATGTTAGTTTTTGAAAGGTGTTTATATTTAGCCCAGTAAAGGAGAATTAGACATAATGTAGAACTAGCCAAGTTATACAAGGAGCCGAATGTGGTAAAATATATATAGTTTTGGGCTTTACATTCATGAAAGTGAGTGCAAAAATCCTTCACAAGTCTCTCTATCTCCCAACACTCCTCATTCAGAGAATTTATTTGTAGAAATAAATATAAATTTCAATTCTCAAGACTTGGGGAAAAAGTATTTCAATTATTATTTTATAATATAAAGTATTTAAATTGTTTTTAAAAAATGTATTTCAAATACAGAATACCTAAAGTATTTTGTATTTTAAATAAAAAAAAAAATTCCTACAAACACAAAATACTTACTGGTGGAAGATCAGCCTATAATAAAGTGTACTCTATTTGATAATTTATTTTGTCTATTTAAAATAAAAAATTAAATACATTTTTTTATATTTTAGTATCATAGAAATACAATACTATTACTTGTTTTTGTATTTAAAAAATATATATATAGTTACAAACAATCTGCTTTGCACTTTACTTCTTGAATTGCAAAATTAAAAAAATAAATATTTTATTCAAAATACTGCTGTATAAAATAATGAAACAGCAGATAAAAAAGCAGAAAGGCTTTAGTGCAACTAGCACTTGTGCCCTTCCTAGCAAGGCAGTCCGCTTTCTCATTATCTGGAATTCCTATGTGCCCAGGCACCTTGAACCCTCACCTTGTTGTTACTACAGAGAAGGTTCAGATTGCTTTTACACTCATCTACCAAGTTGGAGCAGGTTGCATAACTATTGAAGACCACAATTGCCGCTTGACTATTCGTATATATTGTAATCAATATATTCATAATGTCCTCCCTTATTAGTGATTGAGCACAGAAATCAATAGCTAAGATCTCGTCCTGAAAGATGGACATATGTCTACCTAGAGATATGAATATTCCCTCATTAAATTTATCCTTTCTCCAGACGCCAGCCCCTGATCCTCGCTCCATCAACCGAATTAATCCATTCCAAAGCCAAGAGTCCGACCCCTCACCTAGCCAATGCTCTAGCCATACGGGTTACGATCAAAGACTCCAAGTGTCGGCCTTGCGGGTATGGTGAGTAGGATAAAAAGGAACAATAAAGAGATGAAGAGAAAACAATAGGTTTTCTAGTTAGGTTTTGTCTTTGGAATTAGAGAGGAAATTGGTATTGAGGTCACCGGCGATGATTATTCTAGGATAGAGGGGAACAAAGTTGAGAAGGGTTGATTCTAAGGACGCATAAAATGGAACAAGGGGAGGACGGTAGATCACTGTGTAAAGGAGAGGGAAATTATTACAGGTAATTTCTACTAGAAGGTACTCCACTTGTGGATGTTCGGAGGGTGGGGTGTAATCAAGGATTCGGGACTTCAGGCTATCATGGACAAATATGGCTACCCCACGACCAGTCCGTCTGGCCCGGTCGTGGCGGGTGAGGGAGTAATTAGGTAAGGAGACAGATGAGGACGGAATATAGGGTTTGAGCCAGGTTTCTGAGATTGCGATGATGTGAAAAAAGTTTTAAGAAAAGTACTGCAGGAATTCATCATAATGGGCGGGAAGGGATTGCGAGTTAACATGACAGGTAGTTAGGATACATGGGGAGGATTTGATGGGAAACAGTCAGAAATTAGCATAGAGGGAATGAGGCATATATCATATTCTGAAAAAAAAAGTTAAGATAAGTACTAATAAGCAAAATAAAAGTGACTATTGAAAAAATAAGTGAGTAACAAGAGAAAGAAAATAAACAAATTAGTAAACAAGAGCTATGAGACAATTTAACCAAAATCTTCAAAATTATTTGGGCACCAATTAAGATAAAAAATACTTTTACCAATTAAGATAAAAAATACCGGCAGCTCTCTTCTGCCGGGCTAACCAGTAGAGGTGCCTGTTCGTTGAGGTCATCTCCTCGCCGAGATAAATTCGGTGGCAGTAATATATATTAAAAAAAAAACCTGTACCACTACAACCCATAAAGGGTCTGGGGTCCAGTACTATTTAGGGAAAGCACTGTTTCTAGGTCCACGGTTGTGCAAGGAGGTGATTTGACCGAGATCACGCTCAACCGCCAGGTTTTCCCCCCTAATTAATTATTTAATTAAGGGTACCCACTTTATAGAGGCTGGGTGAGCCCCAGGAGGGACTCCTGATCCAAGGTCGCCCCACGGCCAATGAAACAGATAAATAAATTTTCTGCCATGAGCCGGGGTTCGAACTCGGGACCTTTGCATTGGAAGCTCAGTGCCCTACCACTGAGCTACCCCGCTCCCAGTAATATATATAAGGGTATTTAAAAAATAAAAATGCCCACAATGAATTGTAAATAAATATAGGGTCAATAATTTTTTACTTTCACTTCCCCTTTGTCTGAAAATACTTATTTCTGCTATGAAGAGGGGGGTAAGTGAAATTTGTGATGCGCACACCAGATTTTTTTAATTTTCACTTATAGCAGGAAAACTTTCCATCACATCAATAAAGACGTTTTATAATAATAAAAATAAAAAAAAACCTGTACCACTACAACCCATGAAAGGTCTTGGGTTCAGTACTATTTAAGAAAAGCACTGTTTCTAGGTCAACAGGTGATTTGACCGAGATCATGCTTAACCGCTAGGTTTTTCCCCTTAATTAATTTATAATTAAAGCTTGTAAAATTTGCAATATGAATGATTATATACCTGTTATCTCTATGTGGCTTAGTTTCTGAGATATCTCTCCTCATCTACTGCTAATGTGGAAAACAAATTTTTACCTCATGTTTTTTACTGTATTGTAATTAACGAGCTAACTCTTGATTTCTTCGTTCTTCGATTAAGTCAAAGAGAAGAAAGTTTTTAATAATTCAATTTTCTTCAAGAATGTATATTATTTTATTAGTTTATCTCCAACAGTTCAAAAGTTAGATTGATTATAACTTTATATGTCAATTCCTAGAATTTCTAGAAAAAAATAATTGTTATAACATATGTTATTATATGTATGTTTGTGTGATTGTATGTATTTATATATATACACTTGGAGATTTAGATGTAGAGAGAGTTAGAGCAATATAACATATAATAACGAATAATATAATAACAGAACAATATAATAACAAATTTTATAAGTTTTTTTTTTTTTTTTTTTTTGCAATTTTTTGGGATTGACAGAAAGTTATAATTGATCTAATTTTTGAACTGTTGGAGATAAACTAGTAAAATAGTATATATTCTTAAAGAAAATTTAATTAAAAACTTTCATCCCCATGACTTAATGGTAGAACGAAGCAATCAAATGTTGGCTAGTCAAATACTGTAAAAAACATGAGGTAAAAAAATTTTTTTTCTACATTGGATAGATGAGATGGGATATCTAGATAGCGATAAAAGGTAGGTAATCAATCATATAGAAAATTTTATCAACTGTAATTATAAATTTTAAATTAGTCTTAGTCGATGGATAGTTTTCCGGTAATAAGTGAAAACCTGAAAAATAGCTATAAAAATGAGTCAAATTTTTATATTCTTCTAAATTAGCCACAGTTGAGGACAATGAGTCAAAATAATAATAAGCAAAATAAGTAAAGTAACGAAAAAAGGTATATAATCAATCATATTGCAAATTTTATCAGCTTTAATTATGCATAGAACATCTTTTTCCATGCAATTGATAGTTTTCTGATATAAGCGAAAACCCGAACAAAGTCCCCCCTCCCAACATTTGGTTCACTATCTAGGATTGGGGGCTTTTAGTATGTTTACCTCCTTGCTAGTTCTAAACATTGTCTGAAATTCAGAAACTGTGTCTCCACCATTTCCTTCTATAATCATTCATTGACTGGACTAAAGTCAGATGTTGCATTAATGCTGTTTTATTAGTTTGCTTT